TACTTCTACTTTTACTCAAGTACAAGATCTGAGTACTTCTACTTTTACTCAAGTACAAGATCTGAATACTTCTACTTTTACTCAAGGACAAGATCTGAGTACTTCTACTTTTACTCAAGGACAAGATCTGAGTACTTCTACTTTTACTCAAGGACAAGATCTGAGTACTTCTACTTTTATTCAAGTACAAGATCTGAGTACTTCTACTTTTACTCAAGTACAAGATCTGAGTACTTCTACTTTTACTCAATATCTGAGTACTTCTACTTTTACTCAAGTACAAGATCTGAGTACTTCTCCCACCTCGGGTGTAAAGGCATCAGAATGTACTTTTAATACTATACATTACAATACTATAATATTAATCGCATAGTTAAAAGTATTGCTTTCAACTAACCTAATACAGTTATGTGAAATCTGTTGACATAATGCATTAAATGAAAGTCAACGTTTCAGTATTTTCTGTGTGGATAGGTGTTGTGATGTTTGTGGTAAGATCTACGGCTCTTTTTATTAGACAATGTGAGAAAGTTCCGGTTAGCTGCAGAGGTGGGAAGTAGTGGAGTACAAATACTTTGTTACTGTACTTAAGTTCTTCTGGTATCAGTACTTTACTCCACTACTTATTTTTCTGACGACTTTTTACTTTGACTTCTTACATGTTGAACCCAAATACCTGTACTTTCTACTTCTCACATTTTGAACCCAAATACCTGTACTTTCTACTTCTTACATGTTGAACACAAATACCTGTACTTTCTACTTCTTACATTTTGAACCCAAACACCTGTACTTTCTACTTCTTACATGTTGAACACAAATACCTGTACTTTCTACTTCTTACATGTTGAACACAAATACCTGTACTTTCTACTTCTTACATGTTGAACACAAATACCTGTACTTTCTACTTCTTACATTTTGAACCCAAATACCTGTACTTTCTACTTCTTACATGTTGAACACAAATATCTGTACTTTCTACTTCTTACATTTTGAACACAAATACCTGTACTTTCTACTTCTTACATTTTGAACACAAACACCTGTACTTTCTACTTCTTACATGTTGAACACTAATACCTGTACTTTCTACTTCTTACATTTCCCAAACAGGCTGGTTCCTTTAGTTTGAATGTGTGTTTGGTGGCGTGATCATTATTATTTAGAGTCATTGCGTGCCTATTGATTTGAACACGATCCGTGTATCCATCATTTCCTGGTCTTCTCTAAAGAAGAGGGACCAATGAAAACGTTGTCATGTTGCCGTTGTTCAGCATGGAAACATTCATTAGCTAACAATGACATTATTGTTCTATTAATATAAAGGGAGGTCAGGTACTCTTTAAAACAGCTGCTAGTTATGGGTACTTTTTACTGAAGTACATTTCAAAGCCCATACTTCTTTACTTTTACTTGAGTAAATCAATCAATCAATCAATGTTTATTTATATAGCCCGATATCACAAATGTTACATTTGTCTCAGTGGACTTCACAGTTTGTACAGAATATCAGTATGACAATACGTAAAGAAGTTTAGTCAATAATTCAACTTTTACCAGAGTATTTTTAAACACGAGTATTTGTACTTCTACTGGAGTAAAGGGTGTGTGTACTTTTGCCATCTCCTATTAGCTGTGACACTGCAGTGTTTCCCTCTGATTCTCCTCTAAACTGAACCATCGGAGTAAAAAAACTCATCATCCTCATCCTCCCTCCTCTGCCCGTGTGACAGCAGCTGCTCTCTGCTCTGGTTCTCTGCAGCAGAGTGATGGTGGTGTGATGATGGAGGACAGGTCTCAGTTCTCTGGCAGCTTCAGTGATCCACGGTCTCTCAGCTGGACTCACCCTGACGACTCGGCTCCTTTTCCCCATCCGTCTCTTCTCTCCTCTCTCCTCTCCTCTCCTCTCTCTCCTCACACAGCACAGCAGCCATTTGTTCTGGGGATGAAGGGCCTGTCTGCAGATAACTGTGACTTTACTGAACTGTGGTGCACTATTGCATATGCACAGTTATAGGGCAGCACTAAAACTGTTCCCAAACTTCTTTCAATAGCGTGCCCTCTTTAAGATGTATTGTTTTAACCAAGTATCTCCTGAGCAGCACAATACACATTTGGTAGGACAAAAAGCTTGTCATTGTCCGATTTACAAAACAACAACAATAACAGCCAAATGGCAAACCAATCTTATGTATTCATGAAATAACAAGATAGCATTGTAGTTGCGTTGAACAGCGCCCATTGAAAAGTTGCAATTAATTAAGAAACTGAGGCGTATTTTTTATTTCTTCCACTGTGTTTTCAGCAGTTATGCTTCTAAGATGAACTCACAAATCCATATTTCTGATTACTTTCTGTCATTTAACATCAAAAGTGCCTTCAAGGTCAAACTGAACAAATACCATGTTGAACATGATGACCTTTGTTGAGGCAATTCAATGTTTTCGGCTAATTAGACTGCTTTGAAAACACGAGTATTAAATGTAAAATGTGGATTTGTTTTATTGAACTTAGCATAGTATCATTATTTTAGGAATTGTGTACATGTCAATTTGAATAAACATTGCTTTTAATTGTCACATACCCCTTGCAGCTTTCTAAATAACCTCTGTACTAAAAGATTGGTTTAATTTTGTATTTTTTTGATTTGTGGAAGAAAGGTCTCACTGCAGCATCTTCAAGTCTCTTATAACTCTAATTCAAACAAAAATAAACCATAAATCTTCTCCTTTAAAGGTCTCAAACCTTCCCCAGCTGTGACGGAGCACACTGAGCACGCTGGTGTGTTGGCATCAAGGTTTATTATCCTTTATAATGTACAATATACAAAAATATAGGGTACCAAAAAATTCACAGTGTCTAAAAGGCAGTGATTACAGTCTACATGACAGGTCTAACAGTACACCTGGTAAGTTGCATAGAAGGGCACAGAGCCTCACATCGCAGGGGACAGAGCTCACAGGGGACCAATCAGATCACTGGCTTTCAGATACAGAGCTCACAGAGGACCAATCAGATCACTCGCTTTCAGATAGAGGCTTAGTTTGGATCAAAATGACTTTTTTTAATTCAATTTTATCATCATATATGACTTTTTGCAGTCTGTAGTGTTTGTTTCTGTCCCTTATATTAGTGTTACGCAGTTCTTCTCAGTGTGGATTTGTGTTTTTTCTGTATATTTGATGTTTGAGCAGCTGTTTCAGGTCACTTTTCGGAGCTCTGTCCCCAAACAAACCTCATGGTTGGTGTGTACTTAGCTGCTGCACTTTTTTTTAAACAACTATAAGGCTTTTTTTTAAACAAACAGTGTTAGCTATACAATATACAGATACATTTACACGATCCTCTGCAGGTTTTACACTGGGCCTGCTGTCTATATACAGATAGAGCTCTCGTGCATGTACAGTAGCTGAACCGAAAAGCATCGCTGGGTTAGCATTCATCGATCATCAGGCAATAATAATAATAAAATATAGCTGTGAAAATGCCCTTTATAAACCAAGCTATGACTTTAAATAGTGTCAGTTCCACCTGTGATGCTTTAACTTACAATGACTAGCTTCCCATGTATGAAATATAGAAACACAGTAGAATGCCTGCGACAGTATGTGGAAAAAAATGCACAAAAAAACCTCATATATAGTCATATGTATGAAAGCATTTACATTGTACAAAATACCCCTCTGTCCACACACACACACACACACACACACACACACACACACACACACACACACACACACACACACACACACACACACACGTTATGTTACCGTCATTCTGTGTAAAAACCATGTCAATATTTGTATTGTTTTATCGTTTATTTCACATATTGAAGATGCTTACCAAACTAATGAAAACTCAAGAAACAACAAAGGAATGTGAAATTAGAGAAACAAGAATTAATCAGCTATATCTTACTTAACAAAATATGTCCTCCTATGCTACAGCTTGTCTAAGAATAAAACAAACATTTAGAAAAAACAAAACAAGTGCCAGTCTACTAGCTTATTCTACAATCATAGAAAACCCAATCCAGTTGTTCAGCACACTGGCCATATTTGATATGACCACCGGGCTATTAAGCACTCAGTAGAATCGATGCATCCATTGGAGAATCAATTGGAGAATCAATCAATTCCCTTTTAGAAGTCTTTATTCGTGGAAAAGAAACAGAAGAAATAGAAAGAAATCTCGCCCCCGCCCTCTTTTGCATACAGGCACCCAAGGCATCCCAAAGCTTTATGTACACTTCCCACAATCCCCCTTGATTTGACTTTACGTCCTTGTCCACAGAGGGCGTGTGAATCCACTGTTATTGAGGATTGTGACTCTTACAAACAACCGTCCAAAAAGCGCAATCGACTCAGAAGTTCTTATCTCTCCGTCACGTGAAATCCCAAACAACCACGTTGATATTGATCTGTAATTAATTTCATCATCGACTGTGTTTGAGTCTTTTGTTGTGGTTCTCTCGCTGTGCATGGACATATGGATAGGTTTGTTTTCAGTAACTGCTTGTGTTGAAGAGGGACTCAAAGTTCATTACAGGCCCAGAATGTGGTTAGTAATGGAGAGGCGTACAAAAACGGTGACCCAGATCCAGGGAAATGTACGTTTTTTTTCACGTGTCGAATCGTGGAATTGAACTCATCACCTGAGGAGCAATCGGTCAAAAGCCAAAACTCGTCTTAGTGGAATTTTCCACTAAATCCCCCCGTGAAGCTTTGAGTTGACCCTGCTATATCCACTCAGGCCGTTACCATAACACCCCCCTTCCGAACCCCGACACCTCCTGATGGAAAGTTCCAAAAAACGCCCTTGAGGACACAAACCCAACGATGCGGAAGAGACGATAGGAGCGAAGGAAAATGGCGGTGACGAACTGAGGGAAACTGTCCGAGCTCTGAGAAACGTTACAGTTCACGTCGGTTCAGTTATATCACCGTTCGGGGTGGTGTCCGTTAGCGAGGGGGGGGTGGGGGTGGGGGTGGGGGTGGGTGGGGGGGGTTCGGAGAGATGGAGGGGCGAGTCTCAGCTGTTGTTGTTTTGGTTGTAGGTCCTACAGGGCGAGGGGGAGGAGTTTGGCTGGTAGTCGAATTTGCCGAGTGCCGTGGGATAGTAGGTGGTGGTGTAGACGTTGGTTTGTTGGAGCGGCGTCGGGAAGAAGTTAGATCTTTCATCCGGCAGCAGGTTGTTCTTGTTGAGCGTCTGGAATGACACAGTGGAGAGAAAATTAGGAATGCACTCATAGCTTGAATGAATGTTATTGTATGCCATGTTACTGACTAGAAGATATTACCTCATAGGACAACATATGAGCTCATAGGAGTTTCTGTAAAAAGAAAATATGCTGGAAGATGTTTTTTCAGTTATTAACAACCAAGTTGATATTGAAATCTAATTAATTTCATCATCAACTTGTTTGATGTCTTTTGTTGTTGTTCTCTCGCGCTGCAAGGTCATGAGGATAGGTTTGTTTTCAGTAACTGCTTGTGTTGAAGAGGGACTCAAAGTTCATTACAGGCCCAGAATGTGGTTAGTAATGGAGAGGCGTAAAAAAAACGGTCACCCAGACCCAGAGAAATGTAATTTTTGTTCACATGTGGAATCGTGGAATTGAACTCATCTCCTGTGCTGAGGAGCAATCGGTCAAAAGCCAAAAGCTTTAGACCGATTGCACGAAGATGTTTTTTCAGTTATTAATAGAGGTTTTTGTGGACTCAATGTGGAGAAAAAAGTTTGATTTCAGAATCAGAATCCCTTTATTAATCTCACAGCGGGGAAATTTACAGTGTTACAGCAAATGTGGCAAAGCAGGTAAAAAAAGAAAAAGCATTAAATAAGAAATAAATAAAAAGCACACATTAGTAAATACAAACAAATTAAGACAAATAAGTAAACAACCATGGCTAAAAAACGAGTAGCAGCAATTTAGGTAAAACTTAGTGACATACATAGCATATTAAAGTAGTGTGACCATTCTAAAAATATGTACTTTTTACATTAAAGTGATCATAGCACTGTACAATTGCAAATACTTATAGCTCTAATAAATCACATGCTATTGTATGCCATATTACTGACTAGAAAATAATTGAAAAACATGTACTTTATTTAAACAATGACCTCATGGGACAATGAGCTCATGTGTCTTGAGTTTCTATAAAAAAGAAAATATGCTGGAAGATGTTTTTTCAGTTATTTTAAGAGGTTCGAAGACTCGATTATAATCGTAAAGTTGGAATTGAATTGTTAAAATAAAGATTTTTCACAATGTGGACTCTGTTTTATGTAGGAAGTAAAAATAATATCTGTAATTCTCCCCCGCGGGTGAATAAAGTACCTCCACTCGCCTCGAGGTTATAGCCTCTGTGCTCTAAATGTATTCACAACCAAAGCGAACCAATTCAACAAATTTAATTTAGTTCATGTCAAGCATACTCAAGGCTCTAATAAATGAGATGGCGGGAATTCACTGCAGGTCTCTTAAATAAAAAACAAGACTAAAACCCACATATTATTCTAATGCAATTGCTGAGTCTCGGGTAAAAGCCGAGCATAAGGTGAAACACTTTCCAGGGGAAGCATTAGACTAATGTAATCCATCTGAGCAGCTCCTGGGACCGCGGCAGAAGATAATCAGGTTAGAGTCGCTGAAATACACAAACGCTGGGCATCATAAATTGGCCTGGAGGGAAGGAACCGGCTGGATAAACAGCGCTGTAGCCGTGCACCGTCACATCAGCTGTTCCTCCTGTCGTTATAGATAATGAGTTCAGGCTCTCCGCACCACGATGGCTGTCAGCGCCGCGTCCACAGAAACAATAACAGCCATTACAACCAGAGTCAGGAGGCTCATAGGATCAGAAACAAAAGAGAGGTGTTGTTGTGGTCACATGTCCCTGTCACGCTTTGGTTAAGATCTTTGATACTGGCAGGTTGACAGGTACGGTTAACATGAATCTACGGTGGCCTACAGATAACCTAGTTGGGTCATCATTGGGTACGTTTCAGCATTATCATCTCACTGTCAGCTCTTGCTATTGATGAAACTGATCTATTAGACACTACTGTCAAATTGTAATGATTGTATGTATTACTTCATGGATTTGACTTAACAGACTGTACGTGGTTTGTCATGCTTTGCTTTCTGTTATTTTGAAGGGGGTTTATCCTAATAAATACATTTATATATATAGTTATTTCAAATGTACTGGCGAAACACAGTTATGAAACAGCCTTACAGTTACAGTTGGCCATCTTTATAATCCCCGAACTTCAACAAGCACTCAGGTCCCAAAAGTGTGCATCATTTTTTAGAGTCTGTATTTTCCGTTTCCCTGTGTTTTGAGATCTTGCATCGCTTTGTATTTGCAGCGTTGTGTGAACCCTGCGCATGTTTCGTCAAGTTGGTGAACATTTTCTAAATGCAGGTACGCTTAACATGAATCTACGGTGGCCTGCAGATAACCGAGTCATTTCAAATGATGAAACAGCCTTACAGTGACAGTTGGCCATCTTGTTTATAATCCTCGAACTTCAACAAGCACTCAGGTCCCAAAAGTGTGCTTAATTTTTTAGAGCCTGTATTTTCCGTTAAAGTCAAGTTTATTGTCAATCTAAGACCTAAATAAAAGCAATATATACAATGTCTCCCTGTGTTTTGAGATCTTGCATTTTGTATTTGTAGCGCTTTTTGAAAACCTTGCCCTTTTTTTGCTCAAGTTGGTGGAGATGTTTCTAGAAGTGTTTTGGTACATTTGTTTTTTTATATTCGTAAAGCAGCGGCGCCTTTGCACATGTCGGCCACCTCATAAATCATTGCCGGCACACACTTGAGTCAGATGTGTTAAGACAGAAAGAAAGCAGACAGATAACCTAGTCATTTAAAATGTCCTGACGAAACAAGGCCTCACAGTGACAGTCGGCCATCTTGTATACAATCCACAAACGTTTGTTGATCCCCAAACGTCAACAAGCGCTCAGGTCCCAACAGTGTGCATCCTTTTTTAGTGTTTTGAGCTTCTTGCATCGTTTTGTATTTGCAGCGTTGTGTCTATGCAGCGCTTTTTGTGAACCCTGTGCATGTTTCATCAAGTTGGTGAGGATGTTTAATCATTTCTATGTCTTTTGGTACATTTGTGTTTTCATATTCGTATCGTTTCTAAAGCTGCAGCGCGTTTCTCTTCATGGAAATGTTTTGGGCCATTGTAGCGCCTTTGCACATGTCGGCCACCTCATAAATCATTGCCGGCACACACACTTAAGTCAGATGTGTTCAGACAGAAAGAAAGTTAACATGTAATGTAATACAAAAATATCCAATTTGAAAAATCGCGGTGATTAATTTGTGTAAAATCACATAAAAAACAGGCACATGCTCTAATACAAGGAAACGGAGCAGTATCAGCAGGAAAAAGCATCCATTGGGGAGGGTCCTTGACCTTTGAATTAAATGAATTACTTTGCTGCTTCTGAGACGTGGAATATTTTTATTAGATTTGAACTTTGGAAAATATATGGCTGTTGCCAAGTCATGAGAAAAAAGTGTCTGGTGTCGGATTAGCCTAATCTAATTGATTTACATCAGTGATTCGTACGTGCACTTACAGAATTATTGGAGCTTCTATTCAAACTGAGATAGTGGTGACAAATATCAAACTCCCTTTGGTTCAGGTTATTCAAATGTGAGCCTATTATCCCCAGTGTTGGGTGTAACGAGATTCACTGTAATCACATACACACTTTCAGTAACGCAGTAATGTAACGCGTTACTGTTATACATTCAGTAATCACACTACAGTTACTAACATTGCGCGAAACAATGACTAGATTCTCCCTTTGACAGACTAGAGGGATTTCCGCTGCAGGTTAATATTTGCGTAACATTTGCGCGACTTGTCCACATGCAACTGTCACAGGGGTGGTGCTGCAGTGCAGAGACATGGCTGACTCAATAACAGCTATAACTTTCGAGGGGTGGAGGGGTGGAGGTATGCCCATTATTTTAAATGTGTCAGAAGAAAGGACAGGAATGTGACGGTAAGGTGCACTGCTGCAAACACAACAACATCAAACCTCTCCTAGCACCTGCAAAGGCAACATGCTAACACGAAGCTAGTAGCTAAAGACCCCCGAACCCAGAGTGATGATGTTCTGTTTTCACCGACTGTTCGCTTGTGGTAGCCTATTTGATTAAAGAGCATAAAAGAAAGACTTGTGTTATGTCTTCCTTATTGCAATAGTAATTGTTATTTCAGTCAGACAACTCACGTGTTCTTAATATGTTTATTAGAGCAGCATATAGTTGAGTTTGGGCTCGGGCCTCATCACTCATTGAAGAAGATTCAACTTATTGTCATTACGTAGTACAGGTACTATGTAACGAAAGGGTTTCTCTGCATTTGACCCATCCTAGTGTTAGGAGCAGTGGGCTGCCATCATGTCCGGCGCCCGGGGAGCAGTGTAGGGAACGGTGCCTTGCTCAGGGACACCTCGGTAGCACTCGGTCTTTCTGGGACTTGAACTGGTTACCTTCCAGTTGCCAAGCCAAGTCCCTATGGACTTCGCCACCACCGCCCTCATAGAACATTGAGTGATGATTAGATACTGTAACTATCCCCCCGAACCTACAGGTGGAAGCTGGGGTGGTGGTGGGGCAGGCAAGCAGCACGTGAACGCATCAGCTATGTGACAGAGCAGCAGCATTAGCGAGGCAGAGGCAGGCAGATCTGGCAGCTTAAATAGAGCGGCATGTTTAGGAGATTGTGTTTGGTTGGTTGTAAGAGAGACGCGTCACGTGTTAATGTATCATTGGTGCTCGAGTTGACTGCCTGAACTAGCTCGCAGGCTTCGCCCCATATGTGTGCACATGTAGGCCTAAGTTTGAAGTTGTGGCTATAGGCTGTTGTTGCTGAGTAACGCAAAAGTAATAATGTAACGAGTTACTTTATGTAGAGGGTAAAGAAGTAATATATTACTTTTTGTTTTAAAGTAATGAGTAATGAGTAACGACCACATCACTGATTATCACACACTCAACCAATCAACCAAGAGCAATCAATACAAGTTGTGGAGAGGCCGAAAAACTGCACTTAAAGTCTATAAACCTCTGGGGAACATAGTTTCTTGACTCTCTGTAAATGTGAATGCACAGTAGAGCGATAGCAAGGGGAGGTCGAGGCCTTACTAATGCGTCGGAAAGCTAATGGGGCCCATTAATAAGGATTTGGTTTACGGCTTGAAGCCTATAGGTTCTGTGTGAGAGCAAGGAGGAATAAAGATGAACGGTAATTCATCTTCTGCGGTTAGCGCTCCATTGAGATAAATGCCTGAATAAAGTCTCTAAATAAAACATGAATCACATCGCCCTTGAATCTTCAGCGTTAACATTGTGTGTGTTTGTGTGTGTGATCAACATCCATTTGTGTTGTGTTTATCTACATGCACTCTTTTGACATGTATATAGACTTTTTGCAGTACTTTGTATTTTATTATGTTGCATTGTTGGAGGAGCTCAGGTCAGAAGAATGTCATTGCCATTTCTACACTGTAGCTTTGAGCACATGACAATAAAACCTTTGAATTGAAATTGAATTGAATTGATAAATCTATTGATTAGATTTATGATTCGAAAATTATAAAAGTAGGGCAGACATGTGGAGATTATCCGGCTGAACAAAACGTGCATTTATCAAACAGGCGGCAGACACCCTATCCGTTTTTAAGAGTGCGCTTAAGACCTTCCTTTTTGATAAAGCTTATAGTTAGGGCTGATTAGATTCAGCCTCTAGTTTTGCTGCTATAGGCTTAGACTGTCGGGGGACACCTTCCTTCTCTCTGTCTGTACCTGTGTACTCTCATGTTCCCAATAACCCAGCTTCCCCCACATTTCTTTTTGGTGTCTATCTACACTGGGATCCTGAGTCGTGGCTGATCCCGAGTCCTGAGTCCTGATCTGAGTCCTAGATCCTGAGTCCTGATCTGAGTCCTGGACTTCGAGTCGTGGCTGAACCTGTCTCTGCAGTCCTGCCTGACTCTCATCATACTACTTCCCTGATGGCTCCCACAGGATGGTTGACATCCTCGTGGATTCATCTTCTTATTATAGACACATGCATTTCCAAACATTTGGTCTACCTATGTTGTCAAATGTATTATCTCTTCGATTTACACACGGCATCTATTGCACGTCTGTCCGTCCTGGGAGAGGGATCCCTCCTCTGTTGCTCTCCCTGAGGTTTCTCCCATGTTCCCCTTTAAACTGTGGGGTTTCTCTCTGGAAGTTTTCCCTTGTACGATGTGAGGGTCTAAGGACAGAGGGTGTCGTATTGTCATACTGATATTCTGTACAAACTGTGAAGTCCACTGAGACTAATGTAACATTTGTGATATTGGGCTATATAAATAAACATTGATTGATTGAGGTTCGTTTTCCACAGATCTTATTTTTTACAATATTCCGAAATCCTTTGGAGAAATCGCATTGCTTTTTTGTTGAGGGAACCCTTGAGCAGCTTACTTCCGGGTCGGCCTACAAAAATACGTCATCCCTGCACCACTGTATAGAATCTAAATGTTAGATTTTCTTATACCTTGAACTCCATGGGTGTGTACTTCTCGTTCTTTGGCGTGGTGTTGCCCTTGTAGTTGAGGTGGTTGGGGGTGGTGGGGTGGATGACGGCTGACTCCTGCGAAGGCTTATGGAAGCGCTGACAGTAGACATAGATCAAGAAGGACAGAAGCCCCGCCCCCAGGAAACAGGAAACTCCAGTGGCGATCAGGTGGATGGAGGTGAACGCTGGAAGAAGAAGAAGACACGTGGAGTGTTAAGATATGTTATCACATCCTGGTGCGAAAACGTTCATCCCACATTACTGGCTTTATGTCATACATCCAATACAATGTAAATTCTTAATTAGGTTAAAGAGGCCCTTTTACGTTTTTTTGGCCTGAAACACCTCCATTGGACTCCTTTGTTTACTTCCACAACATTACATTACACTTTTATCCAAAGCGACTTACATACTCAATACTGTGGGCAATCCCCACAGGAGCAATTTGGGGTGAAGTGTCTCAGGGACACAACGACATGCTGACTGCAGTGGGGTTTGAACCTGTGCCCCCCTGATCCGAACACCAATGCACTAGTCCACTGCGCCACAGCCTCCCCACAACAAAGTGACATCACTATGTAACACCCACGCTTCTATTGGCTAGCGCTCCAACACATTGTACGTGATAGGCTAAGGGGCGGGACATCTCTAAGCGGTTGACCGATCACAACAGAGCCGGCCAGCTAACCAATCAGAGCAGACTGGGCTCTGGTTTCAGACAGAGGGTGAAAAGAAGTGCTGCAGCACAGGCAGTATGAGAAAAATAAAGAGCTTTTTGAACATTAAAGCATGGAGACATGTCACAGGAGAGACACTACATACTGATATACACCTGAACATCAGCAGGAGAGGACTCTTTAAAGTAGAGACACTACATACTGATATACACCTGAACATCAGCAGGAGAGGACTCTTTAAAGTAGAGACACTACATACTGATATACACCTGAACATCAGCAGGAGAGGACTCTTTAAAGTAGAGACACTACATACTGATATACACCTGAACATCAGCAGGAGAGGACTCTTTAAAGTAGAGACACTAAATACTGATATACACCTGAACATCAGCAGGAGAGGACTCTTTAAAGTAGAGACACTACATACTGATATACACCTGAACATCAGCAGGAGAGGACTCTTTAAAGTAGAGACACTACATACTGATATACACCTGAACATCAGCAGGAGAGGACTCTTTAAAGTAGAGACACTAAATACTGATATACACCTGAACATCAGCAGGAGAGGACTCTTTAAAGTAGAGGCACTACATACTGATATACACCTGAACATCAGCAGGAGAGGACTCTTTAAAGTAGAGACACTACATACTGATATACACCTGAACATCAGCAGGAGAGGACTCTTTAAAGTAGAGACACTACATACTGATATACACCTGAACATCAGCAGGAGAGGACTCTTTAAAGTGGAGACACTACATACTGATATACACCTGAACATCAGCAGGAGAGGACTCTTTAAAGTAGAGACACTACGTACTGACATACACCTGAACATCAGCAGGAGAGGACTCTTTAAAGTAGAGACACTACATACTGATATACACCTGAACATCAGCAGGAGAGGACTCTTTAAAGTAGAGACACTACATACTGATATACACCTGAACATCAGCAGGAGAGGACTCTTTAAAGTAGAGACACTACATACTGATATACACCTGGAAATGATCAGAACAGAGCCCCTTTAAGACACATTTCAATCTATTTAAGAATCTAAATTCCTATATTTTCAATGCTGAATCACAACTTTGACTGACAGAGAATACTGAGGCTTTACTCAGGATTGTACTTTTGGCTTTGTACTTCCTGTCAGTCATTTTGGTTTCATACAGGGTTGTGAAAATAATCTTTAGTTTGCAAATGAGTCTCAAAACGTTTTTTAAAAGATGGACAAGTTGTGGCCCGTCCTGGTGACACTGTAGTGTACATAACTTTGTTCTTGCTCCTCTGACAGACAGAGATACACATGAAAATGCACATATAATGCATGAACACACATCATGGACAGACATCTGAGGACACATACTGTACAGGGAAAACGTAGACATGCACAACAACGTGAGGCAGCTGTTCATCCACTCACCTCCACAGTGTTGGTCCTTATCAAAACCAGATGCAGGGAGAATGACTGCAGAGAAGAGGAACACAGGGTCAGACACAAACATGCACACACACATGCACACACACACACACACACACTTACACACTCTCTGCAGACACAGACATCAACAAACATCGAGGGGAGTTGACACATGCAGAAACAAAAACAGAGAATGAGAAGTGCTGATAAAAATGTTACGCAAACTGTCCATTGAGAGTTTTTTGGATCAGTGTATTTTGGGTGTTTCGTCAGATTGAACCTCTCTAGATTCTCTAAAGAGGCATAACTTACAGCTACGATACAATCATTGAAAGCTACAAATGCTCCTGCCCTCACAAATCCTCAAAGGGAGTAGGCAGGGTTAATGTGTGTGTGTGTGTGTGTGTGTGTGTGTGAGGTTTTAATTGCAGTGCCACATCTCCTGATAATTTTTTTTGGCTTAATTTGTCAGTTTCCTCACAGCCGCCTCCCCTCTGCGTGTGACCTTAACAAATCCATCTAGCGCCTCATTGAAATTTGCAATAAAATTAGATGTGATTTGGTGTTGTGACAACCCATTAATATTAATCGCCTTCATGTGGACTCATTAGGGATTCATGGCGTGGAGAGGCCTCTGCTGGCAGGCCATGAAAGATCATCTCATGAGAAACTTTCTGAGATAGTCATCAGCATAACAAGGTGCGCCGGGGCCAGCGGGGTAAAACCGCCAACTCGCTGATTCACATGGTCCTATTACGACTAATTAACAGCAGCAGATTACTTCAGAGCACAAGGAGAACGGTGGCCACGCACGCACGCACGCACGCACGCACGCACGCACGCACGCACGCACGCACGCACGCACGCACACACACACACCATTTGTGATGGGTGAGGATGATGACTGATGGCGCTGAATGTCAATGATACTGTGTACATATTTGACGATGAAAGACAGACAAATAGTGTCCTAAAATCCCAACCTGTTGCTTTTGAATGAAGCAGCCAATTAAGATAAAGGAGGACTAAAGCATTTTGGGTTAAACTTGAAGTCCCCCCCAAAAATGTGAGCGAACAGTGTGTGGGAAAACTTTGTCACCCCTTAAAATGGATAAAATACCAGTACAAATATTGAGTTTGTATGTCAGCTTCTTGTTTTAACCTCTTAGCATTATAGTAAAAGGTAGTGTTTAGATCAGTGGCCAGACAATGTTACTTAGACATCATTTGGGCATCGGTATTTTATTTGCCAGTTGCTTATGTTTTCCTACATTTCTGAGCCGTTGTAATATTTATGTTTTATTATGGATAACACAAAATATGTAACCATTATTAAAAGACTAAAACACTAGAAGAGAAAGCACGTCATGTACTCTCCATGTGAAGAGATGCACTCTTACACAATTATATTTAAAAGGCTTCATACTATTGTCTCCTGACCAAGGTTCCAGAAACAAGTGGAGAGCATGCAGTATATTTTGGGATGTTCAACAGGTTGTTTCCTCCACACTCTGGCGAGAGGATGTTGCACTCGAGGAACCTTTGAGAGCTCAGACAGTTTTGTAGGAGGCTGCACCGGTCAGAGATGGAAAAAGTACCCACATGCTTTACTCAAGTAGAAGTACAGATACTCGTGTTTCAAAATACTCTGGTAAAAGTAGAAGTACTGACTAAACTTCTTTACTCAAGTAAAAGTAAAGAAGTATGGGCTTTGAAATGTACTTAAGTAAAAAGTACCCATAACTAGCAGCTGCTTTAAAGAGTACCTGACCTCCCTTTATATTAATAGAACAATAATGTCATTGTTAGCTAATGAATGTTTCCATGCTGAACAACGGCAACATGACAACGTTTTCATTGGTCCCTCTTCTTTAGAGAAGACCAGGAAATGATGGATACACGGATCGTGTTCAAATCAATAGGCACGCAATGACTCTAAATAATAATGATCACGCCACCAAACACACATTCAAACTAAAGGAACCAGCCTGTTTGGGAAATGTAAGAAGTAGAAAGTACAGGTATTTGTGTTCAACATGTAAGAAGTAGAAAGTACAGGTATTTGTGTTCAACATGTAAGAAGTAGAAAGTACAGGTATTTGTGTTCAAAATGTAAGAAGTAGAAAGTACAGGTATTTGTGTTCAACATGTAAGAAGTAGAAAGTACAGGTATTTGTGTTCAAAATGTAAGAAGTCCAAGTAAAAAGTCGTCAGAAAAATAAGTAGTGGAGTAAAGTACTGATACCAGAAACATGTACTTAAGTACAGTAACAAAGTATTTGTACTCCACTACTTCCCACCTCTGGCACCGGTACAGTGTGAATCTGTCTGTCTCACCGGGTATTTCGTTGCAGTCTCTTCTCTGAGTGCTGTTCCCCAAACAGGGCAAGCTTCCCTGAGCTCCACACACCCGACTCCTCATCTGCAGGCCAGAGTCATCGCAGGCGGACCACAGCGACCAGGCCATCCAGCCACCTGAACACAGAGACAAGGGATCAATACTACCGTAGACATTTATCATAAGTGTTATTTAATCATAGATTTCATTTCATTTGTATTTGTTCCGTTCATGGTATGCACAACTTAAAGGTGGGGTAGGTAAGTTTGAGAAACCGGTTCGAGATACACTTTTTGTTATATTCCATGGAATGCTCTTAACATCCCGATAGCAATGAATATTTTAAGTGCTTTGACAACAAATCCATAAAAAAATGTCATCTGTGGAAGCCGTAGTACTGTAAAAAGCACGACCAATCATCTGAGCCGGCCCGGCTAAAATAACTGGATGGCCTACCTGCCTGTCAGCCTTCCATCTGTGCACAAACTTATCTCGTGCCCTCATTGGTCATGTGCACGTTCGTGTGTTGGAGGAGGGGCTCTGTAAGGAAGTCTGAAGGAAGTGGCAGATTTTTTCCGGCTGTGTATTTTCAAATTCTAGCGATCTCGAGCCGGTTTCTCAAAATGACTTACCCTACCTTTAAGTGTATAACAATTATTGACAAAACATGTCTCTATAAACACACCATACCCGAAAAGGAGCAGGGAGAAGAAAATAATCGTATATAGAAATAGATGGTCTGTCCTTTATATTTTCTTATTCCCAGCCAATCATAACAGTATCATAGGAAAATAAGAGAAACACAAAAACATACAAAAAACACTTAGTTCCCACCAACATGTTTGTGTTTTATTGATCCTTCTTTGTCTTATTCTTTAATGTTGTGAGTGTTACATCGGACCCACGACGCGGCCACCCAAGCTGTCGGCACCCACCGCCACCTCCGACCTTCCCCGGCCAAACAGCCCCAAAACACACCAGAGAGTGTGTGATGTAAACAGGATTGGAGAGAGTCACCCCTCAGAGAGTTTGTTTAGTGCATAGTGGAGATGTTTGTCTCCTGAGCCAAGCTTTAGAGCCGTTTCCCCGCAGCAGCCGAGCGAGCAGTAAACAAAGGCTTCTCTCCAAGAGGACATTCCCAACAAACGTCACCCTTTGAACCATGCACTCGCTGCACCCTCTGTTTTAAAAAGCACCCAAAGTGGAGGGCTACTGCAGGGAAAGGCTGATGGAAAAAGATGGTTTGTTATTCAGGGAGATCTGGAGTGTGCAGCTTTTTGGCAGAGAGAGGCTGAGGACCTCTTTTACCTTTCCTATCAGTCAGCTGCTCACCGTCAGGCTGCTCACTCTGCTCCATCTGCTCCCTTCTCAACACACAACCATCTACACACACACACCCACACACACACACAACACACACACACACACACGCACGCACGCACGCACGCACACACACACACACACACACACACACACACACACACACACACACACACACACACACCACACACACACACACACACACACACACACACACACACACACACCACACACACACACACACACACACACACACACACACACACACACACACACACACACACACAATACAGCCCACTTTAATTGCTTCATTTATTCCCATTTATTCGTGTCACCGGGACGACCTGCGTGATGGTACTGTTGAGTCTGGAGGAACCTGAGGCTCCTTGTTAGTATTCTGTCCTTCCCGCTGTCCTCCATTACTGCTGGAAACTTTAATCAAATGACCTGCGACAGAGGCTTCAAATATGCCCGTGACTGACAGCCAGCTTGTCTTTAATTACACATGCAGAGGGGGTGGTGGCACCAGCAGGACCCCGATAGATGACTGATGTCAATAAACGAATGGACGAGGGGATGAATCGGGGCTGGAGTGATTGTTAGCTGACTGTCAATGGGTCCTATTAAACACAGAGGAATTAACCTGATAAAGGCCAAAACAAAAAAGCCATTAGACTTTTTAACTGTAATTACAAGCCAGGCTGAGTTTAAAGTGTTATTTTCCAGGTGAATGGCAGTCAGGCTGATTCAAAATGAAAAGCAGCTTAGCAAGGACGAAACTAATATTACATCCAAGATAAAAAACATCCTGTAAAACACATCACTTGCGGACAAATATGCAATCACCCTCTGACAATGATTATCTGTCGAGGCCATTTTTGTTTTCCAGCAGATTGAACACATAAATAGGTGAACATCACATTTTGGTGACAACGCGTTGAAGGCTGTTTGATATTAAAGCTCAGAATGGGAGTCGGGCTGAATCCTTATGAGTTTTGAGGCTGGATTAATTTTGTTCCTTCTCCTTGTGGATTAACAGGCGGATCTCTCATGAATATTTCAGTGTCCTTGCAGGAGCAGAATGGGACGGGAAGGGGGACACGGGGCGTTGTTATACATCTCACATCTCATCATCATGGTGCGGGACTTTGGGGGAGGCAAGGGTGAGTGAAAAGGAAACCGTTGGCATTGGGAATTAGTTTAAATTTGTTTTTGTGTCTTCTTAAATATGTGTTAAAGTTATTAAAGAATCAGTTCGTACCTAAAAAACACTTTTTCTCACTTACCTAAAGTGGCATCTTAATAGTTTTCCTTTTAATTATCCAGGTTTTAAGACGTTTACCCTTGAGATTGTTTGTGTCCTCCTCAACAGAGGCAAAATAAATTACATTTGTGGTTTAAACAAGTTTAAATGTTAGAAAAACAGCAACGTTTTTTCTCCTAAAGTCTCTCTTCCACAGATAACTCAGAAGTTAACAATAAACAAAACTTTAGTAATTGTTGTGTGATATTTGTTTGCCTATTAACAGTATAAAAACGTGCCCTCTGGACAGTGGTGGACTGGCCATCGTGACGTTCGGGACGAGGCGGGGTTAAGAGGCGATGCACGACAGGGTTACAGTTTGAATGTTTGAACAGAGAATATGAACTGCTACCATCTAATGGGAGATTCTATAAAGTCAGACTGAAGCATCCTCTGTGCTCCAGTCTGTCCTCACAGTGAACACAGAGCTGAATCCAGATCAAAGGCACGCTGAAGGCTCTTTGAGCAGCTTTTCTCTCAGTGATCGTGCTGTTATGTTAAATGTTTGTTGTTTGTTAGTCACGTATTGTGTCTTGATATGTGTCTGTTGATGTTACACATGGAGCTGCTGTGATGCAAGGAGCATTTCAGACTTGATCTGACCATTCAAATATTATCGTATCGTATCGAATGTATGGGTGCCCTTACCATCGCAGGTGTGTGTGTTGCACAGCGCCTCCTCAGTGTGGAGGCCCAGGCAGATTTCCCCTCCGTTAGCGGGCGCCGGGTTGTTACAGGAGCGAGTCCTCTGGTAGTGACCCCCCCCACAGCCCACTGAGCACTGGGACCAGGACGACCAGCAGGACCACGCACCTTTCACTGTAACACACAAACAACACACAAGAGGAATGGTTATTTGAATGGTCAGTGTTTGGCATCCTGCATCATCATTTACTTTTGAGGATTTTTGAGATGACTTGAATCCCCAGATCTCCTAGATTTCAAGTTGCAAGGCTTTATTGTCATTAGCACATTAGCTACAGTGTAGATATGGCAATGAAACACTTAAGTCAGAGGCTCATCCAACAGTGCAACATATATATAGGAGAACAAATACAACAGACAAAATAGTGCAAGAGAATGTTTGGAGATGAGCAAGTAAATACAAATGGAATATCATTTTGTATTTGTGCGTATTTGGTAACAGTTGTACCATTTCATTTGTATTTGTATAATATACATTGACTTTGAGCGGACCCTTATCACAAGGCTAGATGTTGCTAATGCTAACAGGCTATGACTAACCTTTGGAGTCAATCTGGTGACGCTGGCCTCTTGGAGACCACCAACAATTAATCAAACAATGTCCTACAAATGATTAACATGTGAGGTAACGGTTTATATTATTGTCCTAGTAATACGTTTTAGTCAATACGTAGTAAGGCCCTTAAAATGTAAACACCTTACAGTATGCTTTTCAGATCAGACTCTAAAAGTACTATAATCATTCACATGTTTTTGTTGGACATTTATAAGCACCTTAAAAAGATGTTAACAGGTTATAAAACACTATTATGTCATTGTTATCAGCAGTAAACTGTGCTTTTTGCAGCTACCGGTTCTCAAGACAGATGATGCCTTATTTAGGTTCAAATACCTTTTGTTATAAACACTTACTAAATTGGGTGCCTGCTGATTTCACATTTTTCAGACTCTACATGTTGTGTACACCTGCATACTGCATTTCCTACAATTCTTTAAGTAAATGTTTTGCTCTCTTCCTGATCATATCCCACTGTCTTTGCTTCGTCCTATCGATTGATCCCGTCTCCCCACGGCTCCGTTAATGTTCCTGTGTGTGATCTAATCAGCGGAGCGTGACTAATTGAGCGGCTGATGTGCGTCTCTCTGATGGAGACAGGCGGCGTTGCCAGGTAACGTCACAGTGCTGCAGGCTCCTCTATTAGCTGAGTGGATTAGTGTGACCACTTACCTCTGACTAACTCACAGCCGGACACCACTCTGCCGATCGCTAACTGGCTGTTTACAGGCCTGTCTGCGCTCTGAATGACTGAACCAAACACCGCCTACCTGACTGACTTCCTGCTTCTATAACTCTCTCACTGCGAGTCATTCCTCCCACGTGCCTCGTTTATTTTCAGAAACATGAACTTGAAAGGTGTCAAACGTGTCCTCGTGTGTTAGTTTGGCTGCTCAAGAACACTAGAGACTTTTTCATGTAAACTGGAGGAAGTAGTGTGTGTGTGTGTGTGTGTGTGTGTGTGTGTGTGTGTGTGTGTGTGTGTGTGTGTGTGTGTGTGTGTGTGTGTGTGTGTGTGTGTGTGTGTGTGTGTGTGTGTGTTAATCTGGCTTTTATGTCTGTTTTGGTTTCCATTTGATTTGACGTATCAGGTATCAGGCTGACCCTAAAAACCCCAGCATAATTTAACTATGGGTGCATTAGTAACACAAAAGTTCATTTTCCTAGTAGCCTCTCTCTTATATTGCAGTGATTGAATATATAATTCAACTCCTTTGAGATTAGTTATGTTATGACAGTGGGTTCAAATGCTTTTTAATTGTCACATGTGATGACTGCAGTTTGCTCATAATACTCGACAACTGACTTGGATAATATGTCTTAATTGACATGAGAGGTGACACTCACTTACCCATACAGACGTACACACAGTACACTGATTGATTTACAAAACAGTAAAAACATTTCTTTGTTTAATACTATTGGAAAATACATATTGATGGAGTTTCAAAACTTTCACTAAAAGCACAGTTTTGTAGGTCATACAGTAACTTCTTATAATGAAACTTATAATTGAACTCAGGCTCACTGTGACTCACTGTCTGACTCAAATGCACGCACGCACGCACGCACACACACACACATACACATATACAGTACGCTCTCCACACACTATTCATTTCAATCTCCACAGCAATCTATACTACCTCCACCCCTCTCTAATCTGTTCATCAATTACCATTTTGCACTCATTCTCTCTTTTGTCACTGGCCTTGTCCTTTTCTTACCTGAGTTTCTACCCCAGGGGGATGCAGTGATGCTTCCTGATTGGCTACTTCACAGCAGGAAGTAACCGAAAGGGCGCATTGGGAGGGTTTTCTTAGCTAACAAGCGTCCGTTGCTAAGCTAACAACTATGGATTCCACGTGGATGCCAACAACTGACATTTAAATACACTACGACTACGGGAATGTAATCAGCTTTGCACCAACCAACCATACATCCTTAATTCATTTGGCACCGCTCTTGAATATAGATAGCAAGAGCTTAAGAGGACCTTTTTGTGTGTGTGTGTGTGTGTGTGTGTGTGTGTGTGTGTGTGTGTGTGTATGTGTGTGTCCTGAGTCTGGTTTAATAAGTGCAGCCTGTCAGTGCAGCAGTCTGTGGTCAGTGGAGTCCTAGGTCAGCTGATTATGTCTTGATGAGGACTTTGAAGAAGATAACTTAATTTGTCCAAGGACTCTCCCTCTATGCTGCAGCTAACCATTAGCTAATGAAGCTAATGATCCACTCAGCGCCGTTTCACTTCCACCATTGACCTTCTCCTCTCTCCGTCTCTGTATCTCTTAGTGAGCAAGTATTTCCTTTATGAACCCTTCATTTAGCAGGGAAGATACACCTGACTTTATCTGAACTCTATTTGCATTCAAGTTGTATTAGAGACACGCAGAGGAAGTGTTTTTATCTAATGTTTCATCAAGTCACGATTGAAGCTCTCTGCAGATTTTAATTGATCGGATCAGATTGTACTCAAATCCAACAGTGACAGATATCCAATTAAAAATGATGTTGTTTTATCATTGCAATTTAAAGCGTGTGAACTAAACATGTCCTATTTAGGGATTTAAAACCATATTGTACATTTCATTTGACATTTTCTGCTCTGCATTATATCAAAGCAAATCATCACATTTCATCAAACCCAATCTGTTGTCCATCAGATTTCAACAGCATGTGACTGAAAGTTAGGGTTATTCTTTTTAGAAAAGAGACCAGAGATGTTATACCCCCATATTTATAGTCTCATGAGAGCTCAGATTTTACTTCACATAATGGAACATTGAGAGATGAGCGGAGAAAAGTTACACAATAGATGTCATAAGAGCAAGTCAAATAAAGTAATTAAAGAGACAAGTGAATAATAGAACTTCAGTGTTTGCTGCATATTGTGGGTGCATTGTGTAAAACAATCCAAACTTTTCCATAAGGAGGGTGTTTAAGTTCAGAAGTTCTTCTAATGAAACTCATAATTAAACCAACTGTGACTCACTGTCTGCCTGCCTTTCTCTCTCACACACACACACACACACACACACACACACACACACACACACACACACACACACACACACACACACACACACACACACACACACACACACACACACACACACACACACACACACACACACACACACACACACACACACACACACACACACACACACTGTTTGGAAAATGTAAGAAGTAGAAAGTACAGGTATTTGTGTTCAAAATGTAAGAAGTAGAAAGTACAGGTATTTAGGTTAAAAACGTAAGAAGTCAAAGTAAAAAGTCGTCAGAAGAATAAGTAGTGGAGTAAAGTACTGATACCAGAAAAATGTACTTAAGTACAGTAACGAGGTATTTGTACTCCACTACTTCCCAGCTCTGGTCTCCACTCACCGGGACACGCCTGCACATTACAGTCCTGGTACTCCACCGGAGACCCTCGGCAGGCCACGGGCGCGCTCTTCCCCTCCGGCCCGGAGCACGACCTCCGGCGGGTTCGGTACCCTTTGGCACAGCTCTGAGAGCAGCTGGACCACGTCTCCCATGACGACCAGCCGGCACCGGCCACTCGCACCACAGGAGTCTTCAGAAGCTCCTCCACCAGGGCTAAAGAGAGAAGAACCAGAACAATAATCAGGATTCAAGATTTCAAGGCTTTTATTATTATTTGTACATAGCTACAGTTTAGTTATGTCAATGAAAATCTGAGGTCACATGCTCCTCCAACAGAGCAACACAATAAAACAGATAACATAGTTAAAATAGTGCAAGGAGAGTCTATTACTGCTGAATTGTATTCCATATTTTATTCGTTTTTATTCCATTCTATTTCAATGTAAATACTGCTATATTTTTTATTATTTTTTATATGTTTTAATCTTATTTTATATGTATGAACCATGACATCAAGTCAAATTCCTCGTATGTGTAAACCTACCTGGTAATAAACCTGTTTCTGATTCTGTAATTGTAATATGATATATTAGATCAATAATTTGTAATATGATCAGAATCAGAATTCCTTTATTAGTCCTGCAGTGCGGACATTTACAGCGTGACAGCAAAAGTGGCATAGCAGGTAAAAAAGCATGCAATAATAAATAGTAAGCTAACTTATATTATACATAGAAGAAAAGCACACATTAGTAGATATAGAAATAAGAATAAAGACAAATAAGTACACATGGTTGCAACTAGAGATGTCCCGATCCGATCACGTGATCGGGGATCGGAGCCGATCACGTGATTTTCAAAAAATCGGGGATCGGGATTTTTCTTTTTTTTTTTTTTATAAAATATCTTTATTTGATTTAATGTTACAAAACAAAAATGACCATGTTCACGTCTTAAAGTCATCCTGAGGCCTTAGTTTTGGTTTAAAATTACACAACATCATATATGTGTTGCTTCTTTTGGGCTTGTTTTCATAGACCTGGTTGCTTATTTCTCTCAAATCTGGCCACAGAGTGGGCAGGGCGCAGTGTCTAATAGTAGCAGTCAGCTAACAAGAGGCTACGTTCAGCTGGTGCCTCGGGAGTCGGGACAGAGAAAATGTCAGGAGTTTGAAGTATTATAAAATTGAAAGCGAAGGCAGTGTAACAGCCAGATGCAATGTTTGCAAGGCGGAGGTTCCCCGTGGTGGAAAGAACAGAGCTACGTTCAACACGACCAATCTAATACGCCACCTGAGAAACAAACACCAACAACAACACAACGAGTACACAGCGGCCACTCAGGTAACGGCACTGAAACAACCGACACTTTCAGAGACTTTTAAAAAGGAAAGAGAAACTGCCCCAGAACAGTGAAAAGGCCAAAAAAATAACAGCCAAGATAGCTGAATTCATCGCGTTGGATGACCAGCCGTTATCTGTTACCTTTTTTTTTCTCTTAATGCATTGCATAAAGATCGGATCGGGAAAAATCGGTATCGGCAGATTGTCAAAATCAAATGATCGGAATCGGATCGGGAGCAAAAAAAGGTGATCGGGACATCCCGCAACAGTCTGTATTGTGTGGTGATCTCTAAGGTGTTGTACAGCCTGAAGGAAAGGTAGATCAAACCCCCAGAAATAAATATATGCAGCGCTGTCAGATTGACAGTTTGAAGGAAATAAAGAGAGATGTGAAGCATGCAGATCTCTTGAGTGAAAGTCACACAGTGTGTTTGACTTTGCCAGCAGGCATTTCTCTCCATATGTCCTTCCCCCAAACTCTATCTGTGTCTCTCATGCGTCCCCCGTTCCCCTCTGTCGGCGTTTCATCAGTGTGTCAGAGTCGATGTGGCCCCACAGGACGATGACAGGCGGAGACAAGCAATCGATTCATGAAAGAGCCACCAGTGGAGAGCAGTGGACTGTGACCCTGTGTCGCTGAGTGTGTGTGTGTGTCGCTGAGTGTGTGTGTGTGTCGCTGAGTGTGTGTGTGTGTGTGTGTGTGTGTGTGTGTGTGTGTGTGTGTGTGTGTGTGTGTGTGTGTGTGTGTGTCGTGTGTATATGGAGGAGCTGGATTGAGACCCCGTCACTAACAGCGTGTAGGGGAGCTAACACGGCTAACGGAGGGCCATTTCAACATGTCATGCTCCGACTGCAAGAATCTCTGCAGGCTACCTCTTTCTGTGTGTGTGTGTGTGTGTGTGCGTGCGTGCGTGCGTGCGTGCGTGCGTGCGTGCGTGTGTGTGTGTGTGTGTGTGTGTGTGTGTGACTGTGCAGAACTGTGTGTGTGTGTGTGTGTGTGTGTGTGTGTGTGTGTGTGTGTGTGTGTGTGTGTGTGTGTGTACACATGAACACATAACTGATTATTATCCTATTGACATTTCCCGGCACAAACACTTAAATAACGTTAGTCTCTATATCCATTTAAAACTGGTTTATTATAAGATTACTGAACAGGCTTACTTGGTACAGGCTAAAGATGGAAACAGTTCAAACCTCAGTGTGGAATCGCTGTATTAAAGTCACTACTAATCAAAAAATTACATTTGGACATTGTCACACGACAGAAGCCACCAGGAAACCTTCAAATTGGATCCTGACCCCTTCAGATAAGAATAAGTGTTGTTCAGTATGGACACTATGCAATATGGGCTCTGTACATTTGTTGACAGAAATCCTTAAACTCTACCTCACCAGAGACGATGGAGGAGGGATCCCATTTAATCCTATGACAGTTGCTCATTGAAGCATAAGTAAACAATGATCCGCTGATTTACAGAGGTCTCTTTCTCAATGGGAATAAATACCTTTGGGCCCAATGACGTCACGCTTGGTTAGATGCGCTGTGAGATTTCCGGCCGGCCCATCCTCGGGTAGCAAATGATGTTATTTTATAGTTATGTATTTTGTAGAGATATGAGAAAGGGCAGTGGGTTAACACACCTTAGCTTATCTTTGGCGCCTACATTTTCCTCATCATCACTAAACTCTGTCAGGTTTGTGTTTAGCTTAAGGAGAGAAAGTAAACCTCTGCTAATATGTAATTTCTTACTTGTTGTAATCCTCTTTTCATTTGGGAAGAGAGGAAAACATCAACCAGTTTCATCACCCTAAAGTAATAAGAGGACCATTTTTTAAGATAGTGTAACTCAACCATGTTGGGGAATCATTTGCCCTGCATGCCCTCCTTCGCCGTCTGACGCAGCTGACCAGCCTTGAGCAGCCGTTATCTCCCTTAAGGAGGGGCTGCCCTAGCATTTTGTTGATGTTACCAGTTTGTGACCGGGCAACTCTTGGTCAGAGATAGTTATTGTTGTGGGACACCTGGAACACATCCTTCTCGGGGTGTAGATGACCCCGAGCCATAAGCGACAACAAATGTGATTCAGTGTCCTCAGCTGTTTAGTCTATCTATTGAAGAATGTTGATTATTACACTCTGAACTAGTTTAAACCTCGAGCTACAGGAGGGGTGCTTCAGAATTGATTGCGGCATCTCTACCGTGTGGTCAGATCGTGGCCCGTGACATGTCTTGTGAATTCTCCGGCCGAAGCTCCAAATAAACCGTCAGTGTTTGCCATCAAAGCTCCAGCTCTCCATTGTGTCTCTCTTTGAGTCCTGACTCCAATTGCTTCAGAAGTTTCCCCCACAAACCACATATACATGTACTTCTCTGTATGTCAATTCTAAATATGTGAATCCCATGTTAAGGTAGTTTTTCCTTTATTGCAGTAGCCTTATTGACCCCCCCTCCCGTGTATCTTTAACTCACTGTCTGTCTCGCAGGCGGCGGTCCCGTCGTTGGGGCAGAAGCGCGTCTCCACCTTCCTGCGTCCGATCTGCAGCTCGTGGGGGTCGGACAGGTGGGCGCGGCACATGTAGCGTATCCTCTGCTCCTGACGAGCCCCCCCCTGAGTCACGTTGACGGGCATCCAGGGGGTCCAGGGGGTGTTCCTCTTCACCTCAGGACACGCCTCCAGGTTACACGCCTTGTACTCCTGCAGGTGGGGAAAAGTCAGTGGGTTTTATTGTTTTATTCTTAAATTTAACTTCAAACATTTAAAAAGTCAAATCCTGGGATATTTTTTTAACATTATTAATTGTTTTATTTATTTATTCTACTATTTCAACAATTAGACCGTTTATACATCCGAAAAACAAACAAAATTAGTAGAAGTGGGAGGACATGACTTATCTCTGCAGGCCTACTCAGAGCTTAGCATTGTGCAAGTTCGCCTTGAAAAAAAGCAACGAGATATTTCCATATGATTTGGAATATTGCAGAAAATAGATACACAAGCGTATGGTTCTAACATGTGTTGTTCAGCAGTATAATCTCCTCATATAAACACAGTTTGTAATGTTTTTTAAAGCGTAACTGCAACCGCTAAAAGGCTAACGTTAGACTGTACCGAACTTTCAAAACGGTCTCATGACTTTATGTCACCACCACTTGGCTAAATGTGAGTTATATTCGGCGTGATGACGTTTCTCATTTGCTCACGTAATGCTATAACAACGACATCACAGTCACGTGTCTTTACGTTAGCACCAATAAGCTAAAGGCGGTTAATGTTCAGCAGTTACCGTTACATGCCCCCCTCCACAGAATCATCAGCTGCTACCATCACCAGTGTGTTTATCTTGATGCTTGTCACAGAAACCCCCCCCCCCCTCGATTATAAATATCCTCGTGTAGAGTGTCAGACTTTCTGTCATGATCACACTTCATCTGTTTTAATGAACAATTATCTTTACTTCAGTCACTTGTCTCCTGATTGAGTGGTTTCGCAGATCTTATTTTACATTTTTCATACGTTTGAGGAGTTATTTTTTCTCAAGAGCAGCCTTGTGGTAAATTCCTATCCTGGAAATGAAGTGTTGAATTGAGTTTTATATAAATGAGTCCCATTGGTTCTGAAGATGTTTGTCCCTGGGTGTTGATTGAGGGGAATATTTTGCATTACATTACATTGTTAGACCCTTTTATCCAAAGCGACTTACATACTCAATACTGTGGGCAATCTCAACCGGACCAATTTGGGGTGAAGTGTCTTCAGGGACACAACGACATGCTGACTGCAGTGGGGTTTGAACCTGTGCTCCCCTGATCCCAACACCAATGCACTAGTCCACTGCGCCACAGCCTCCCTCCCAGATATATTTAACACCAATCTCTCACACTACATACGACCCTGTGTCCTGAACTGTTTCTATAAAAACCTGTGTGTACGAGTGTTCATGGAGATATTGAAATATCATGTTGTATTTTTCCCTTAAGAACTGAACGGTCCCAAGAGACTGTCAATCACCACACAGCGTCAAAAATAGTATGGCATTTTTATCACAATAAAATCATTGAAGTGAAAAACAATATGTCACTTTTTCATTTAAAAGACGTGTTTGTTTTGTAAACAGACTTAATGTTTGCCGTTTACAGTCAGGAGGGAGAATCTGTGTTTATCTCCGCTGTCATTATCACCTGTTTAATGATTTTGCACTCTCTTTATTAAAGTACATTTAGACTCCAACACACAAAGGATTAACACATATAGATCAACATTATCTTACAAAGCCACGGCATTCCTGTTCAAAACCTATTTTAACACTTCCTTAAACTATCAAATGTTGGCTTAAAAGCAGAGAGGCAGGGAGACGGATCCCCCTGAGGCTGACAGATGGTCTTCTATGTCTCTGTGTGTGTCTGTCTGTCTGTCTGTCTGTCTGTCTGTCTGTCTGTCTGTCTGTCTGTCTGTCCTGTCTGTCTGTCTGTCTGTCTGTCTGTCTGTCTGTCTGTCTGTCTGTCTGTCTGTCTGTCTGTCTGTCTGTGTGTGTGTGTGTGTGTGTGTGTGTGTGTGTGTGTGTATGTGTGTTTCTTCAACTATGTGTTTCTGTTTATCTAAACTACAACTATTATTTAGAAACCAAATGTGTACCTTGAACGTTTGTGTTTTGCTTCTCTTTCTTTTAATTATTATTATAATTATTATTGTGGTTTGTTTCTGACATGTTCAATAAACTGACAACAAAAGAAAGAAAGAAAAGAAAAACAATTACAGGTTGTCTTAAAAGCAGAGAGGCAGGTAGATGGATCCCCCTGAGGCTGCCAGATGTGCTTTGTGTGTTTAACTCTGTGTTTAACTGTGTGTGTGTGTGTGTGTGTGTGTGTGTGTGTGTGTGTGTGTGTGTGTGTGTGTGTGTGTGTGTGTGTGTGTGTGTGTGTTTCCTACCAGTGCACATCCTGGGCAGCTGTTGCCGTTCTCACAGCTGCGGACCCTGGAGTGGACGCCCCCCCCACACTCGGTGCTGCACTTGGTCCAGGAGCCCCACGGGGACCAGAAGATGGGCTGAGGGCAGGACACGCCTTCATTACAGAACCTGTGGAGGTAGAAGAGTTGAGGAAAGTTTGAGTATTTCTATCAAAAACACTGTCAAATGCAGTCAGTGGGTTATGAGGCGCCTCTCTTTGCTTCCAAACAAACTTTGCGGAGATCGTTGTTGTAGCGTTGATTCACATCAGATTTATTCTTTGATTCAGGCGGCATACAAACATGAAGACTAACTTCCTCGCTTCAAAGTAACTAAAAGTTCTCACGTATCAAAAAAGAACAAAAAGAATACGGTCAAAAGACTATACCGCTTCCCATCTAATCACAAACTCAGCCAAACATTCAAACCATAATGATGAAAGGAAAATGGCTCTAACACACATTATTAATTGAGACTTGACCTATTTGAGATTAAATTGTCTTAAGAATTGACCTGATATTTAAAAGCAAAAGCATTGAAGTCTCAAGTTTAAACCGTCATAACACGGGATAGAGTTTGAATATAGGACTGAGGGATAATTAAATGTCACTGTAACTGTTTGTCTTTCTGTACAATCATATCATGATGAATATATGTATAAGAAGATTGTGTAACCTGCATCAAGGTTCTGGGTTACACAATCTAAATGGATAATAAATAGCAGAGACTAACTCAGACTTTTCTCTCTATGAACCCTCCAGGGCTCCGTACACTAGAGTTCTTATTTAAATGAGAAAATACTGAGTGAATTTCATCTGTTGTTAAGTAGTAATAATAATACTTCATTACATTTATTTAGTGCTTTTCCGAACGCTCAAAGCGCTTAAGAGTAGACACAGAAGGAAACAAAAACAGGCTTTACTGTGAGATTATTTCATATAAACTATTCCATGTGTCTGTATATATTGTAAACGAGATGAAATGTCCTATATACTGAATGTCGATTTTGGCGAGAATCAAATCAAATCGATATTTCTTATAGCCCCAAATCACAAAAAAATGCCTCAAAGGGCTGTACAAAGCAAACAAAGGCAAAGACAAAAACTAAATACAAACGTATTAGCATAACAATGATAAAAACATTCTACATAAGTATTGCCATATGATAAAAGCATGTGACTAGGTGATGGAAATGAGTTGACAAGAATGAGTCTCAAAGTTTGAAACGTTACTTTATGAACGTGTGTGTGTGGTTGTGTATGTATATGTGTGTGTGTGTGTGTGTGTGTGTGTGTGTGTGTGTGTTATGTGTGTGTGTGTGTCGTCACCTCTCGTCCCTGCTCGGCCCCACACACACTCGTCCACCGTGTCGGGGGGACGGGTTGTTACAGGATCGCTGACGCAGCTCGAAGCCCGTCCCACAGGTGGTGCTGCACTGTCCCCATGACGACCACGGCGTCCAGCCTCCGTTTCTATGGCAACGGACATATGGTGAGGCAAGGTAAGGCAAGGCAAGTTTATTTATATAGCACCTTTCAACACACGGCAATTCAAAGTGCTTTCAAAAAATGAAAGACATTAAGAAACATATTATAAGATGACATTTAAAAACACTTATTTCAAAGCAAAGACAATAAAACGTGAATAACAAAAAGGTACATGAATTAAAGTGACAGTGCAGTGTGAGATACACACATCTGAAATGTTTAGCTCTGACTCTCAATCATTGCTCACTTTTTTAGCAGAAATAGTTTTCTTTCACCTCACTTTCTTTCTACTTTCTGAACTTATCCATATTAGTTATTTCAAGTGTTTCATGCTGACCGAACCCCCCTTTGGAAAATGCTAATCTGCAATCCAATATTCCGAACACTCAACTGATCCTGGCCCGTATTTGTGTAGCATATCAAATTAATTTGC